GTGGCGGGCCGCCATGGACCGTAACCCCTCGCCGCCCTCCAGCGAGGCGGAGGAGGAGGAGGGCGACGCGGTGGGGAACACGGTGTACAGCAAGCACTGGCTGTTCAGCATCCTCACCCGCCTCATCGAGGTGCGGGCCTGGGGGAGCGGGGGCGCCGTGAGGGAAGAGGCCGGCGGGCCTGGTAACGGTCAGCGCCTGGCGGGTGCGGTGCGACCGTTACCGGGACACACACACACGACACGCCGGTTTCCTGGTTGTGTGGGGGTTTTTTGCGCCGTGACTGAAGCGATGGGTCGTTGTTAATGTTTCATGGCGTGTCTCTGTCGTCTGCTCGTAGCTCACGTACCGCCGTCCCCCCGTGTGCGCCCCCACCCCCGTTTTCCCTCAGGTCATTAGCCCCGAGAAGACGGAGCCCACCGTGAGTCCCGGGGGAATCCAGACGGAGCTGGATGAAGAGATGGAGAATGACATTTGCAAAGTGTGGGACATGTCGATGGACGAGGTAGGAGCGATGGGCGGCGGTCAGACCTCAAGGGTGGTCCACAGCTACGGCTGGCTTCTGCCCTCGGTGTGCGGTCAGAAGCCTTCTGGAAGCAGGAGAAGGCACAGAATTATGTGGGCTCGGTCAGCTTTCTGATTTCGACGGTGTTGATTATTCTCTGGTTTGGCTGGCAGCACGCTGTGAGTCATTAGGCAGGGCAGGTGTGGTGAATCGGCATCAAGCAGGCTCATCACGAAGGCTGCTTTTCAAGACGAGCAAGTAAGTTGTGTGCTCTCTTAAGCCCAGCACTGGTTTGCAAAAGCAGAGCTTTTGTTGTGTCCTAGCTGCTGGGCTCTGTGCTGCTGTTTGAGGATGTAAAGCAGAGCTGTGTGCGGATGTGAAAGAAACAAGGTGGTCTGCCCGACCTTTCCTCCAGGTGTCTAATGGATCCTGTGGTGCTGGTTTTTAGGGTCAGCTGGCATAAATGGGACCATATTCACACCTGTTGGCTTTCAGTATTATGTGCAGGGGTTGAACTGAAGCTCAGAGTTATTAGAAGATAGCGCCTTAGCTGTAGCTGAAATTAACCCAGGTGCATAGCCTGTATCTTCAGCAGTTTGATTACGGAGATAATACTGATGTCATCTCTAAACAGGCTTTTTTCCCTCTAGCAATTGTAATGCATCCTGCTGGTAAGCGTAGTTTTCTCTGGTAGATAACAACCTTTTAAAGTTTAGCTACACGCTCACAATGGCAATGTAATGTAGCTTTTTGATCTTTTTCCCAACATTCTCAAATGCTGGAACAAATTCTCAAGTAAGAGATTTTTTTTTTGGTTTAATTATTATGTTATTCTGTGGCTCTTTGTTTAGATGTTTAAAATAAACATGGAAGATGTGTCCTTTACTCCCAAATAGAGAACTAATTTTGTGGCTTAATGTGGTAAAATGAGGAGGAGGTTTCCTCTTCTGTATGGTCTGATCAAGTGCTAATGGTAATCCCTTCCCTTGTTTCTTTTTGTATGTCTGGGTGATGTCACTGTCTGAAAACATGATACTTGCTGAATTCTGACTTAACGCCTCTGACCCTCTGTTGAGAGAGAGCAAAAGAAACTAAATGTGATTTGGCTCATTGTATAGCAAATCACTGGCATCCTGAATCACCACAGGGGCTTGCTGATCTTCTCGCATTGAAAAGCAAGGATTATTGGTATTAACTGTTAGGAAATAACTGATCTCGTGTAGTGAGTTTGACATCTCTTCGACTGAGTCCTTGTGCTGTGAGAAAAGGTTTGATTTTGCATTTGGAAATTGTAGAAGTCCATTTACTTATCCATTCACTTTCTCCACAGGATGTTGCTTTATTTCTTCAGGAGTTCAACGCCCCTGATATATTCATGGGAGTTTTTGCCAAGTCAAAATGCCCTCGCCTTACAGTAAGTATGGGCTGTCAAAAAGCTGTCCCATATTAATAGCAATAGTAAATAGCTCTGTACATGCATTTGCACCTATCTCCCTCCTCCTCCCATTGCATGTTTGAATACACTAGGGAAACAAGGAGAAAATGCAAAATCAAAGTTTAAAATGCTTTTGTGCAGTGTTTTTAATACGGTCTAATCAGTATTTCAGCGATGCTGAAGCTGATATATGTCATTACTGATGAAGGACTAAGTTTATCAAATGTAGTTATAAGGCTTGTTATAAAAACCTGTGAAGACTGACCTTTTTTTCATGATTCATTTCATGATTACTGAGCAGAAATCGTCATGAATTTTTTAAGTCAGACCTAGAAAAGTGGCATGGGTTGACCCTGGCTGCATGCCAGGTGCCCACCAAGCCACTCTATCACTCCGCTCCTCAACTGGTCAGGGGAGAGAAAATACAACGAGAGGCTCGTGGGTCGAGATAAGGGCAGGGAGAGATCACTCACCAATTACCATCACGGGCAAAACAGACTCGACCTGGGGAAATTAATTTAATTTATTACCAATCAAATCAGAGTAGGGTAATGAGAAATAAAACCAAATCTTAAAACACATTCCCCCCACCCCTCCCTTCTTCCCAGACACAGCTTCACTCCCAAATTCTCTACCTCCTCCCCGCCCAGCAGCACAGGTGAACAGGGAATGGGGTTGTGGTCAGTTCATCACACGTCTCTGCCGCTCCTTCCTCCTCACTCTCTTCCCCTGCTCCAGCATGGGGTCCCTCCTACGGGAGACAGTTCTGCACACACTTCTCCAACATGAGTCCTTCCCATGGGCTGCAGTTCTTCACAAACTGCTTCAGCGTGGGTTCCTTCTATGGGGTGCAGTCCTTCAGGCACAGACTGCTCCAGCGTGGGTCCCTTCCACAGGGTCACAAGGCCTGCCAGCAAACCTGCTCCAGTGTGGGCTCCTCACTCCATGGGGCCACAGGTCCTGCCAGGAGCCTGCTTCAGTGCGGGCTTCCCACGGGATCACAGCCTCCTTTTGGCATCCACCTGCTCCGGCGTGGGGTCCTCCCCGGGCTGCAGGCGGATATCTTCTCCACTATGGACCTCCCTGGGCTGCAGGGGGACAGCCTGCCTCACCATGGTCTTCCCCACGGGCTGCAGGGGAATCTCTGCTCTGGCACCTGGAGCACCTCCTCCCCCTCCTTCTTCACTGACCTTGCAAAGGTGCCTGCAGGGTTGTTTCTCTCACATGTTCTCACTCCTCTCTCCAGCTGCAGTTTCTGTTCTGCAGCAACTTTTTCCCTGTCTTAAATATGTTATCCCAGAGGTGGTGCCACTGTTGCTGATGGGCTCAGCCTTGGCCAGCAGCAGGTCCATCTTGGAGCTGGCTGGCATTGGCTCTGTCGGACATAGGGGAAGCTTCTAGCAGCTTCTCATAGAAGCCACCCCTGTAGCCCCCCCACTACCAAAACCTTGCCGCGCAAACCCAATACAAAAAGTAATCTTGGAGGTTAGGAACTGTTAGACACCAATACTTAATACGTTTTTTTTTCTCCCTTTCTTTTGATGTCATTGTGTTGCAGCTTGTATTACACAGTGTACTATAGGATTTAAGATAGGGTTTTCAAAGGTGTTCAGTCTTGGTACAACTCCCTTTTCTCTGAAGTTACCAGACACTTTACTTCAGGAGATGAGTAGAGGCATGTAGGGCTTTGAAAGTTCAGTACTTTGTGTTTTGAAAGTACAGCCAAAATTTGGAAGCGAGTGCGAATTGGTCATTGCAGCTACTTTCTTGAAATAGGGTCTGCTGGAGCGTCAGCTGTAATTTAGCAGAGGTAATAGCATGTTAATAATTAAGAAGATAACCTTGAGTGGTGAGAGTTGATATCCAACTTTAAATTGCTGAAAATGAATGATCCCAAGGACATTCTGTGTTAGCACCAGTCACCCACAGGTACTTCAGAGCTTTTGTGGTCCCCTGTATAGAAATGTGCATCCTTTTAATGATTGTCTAGGCATGAATATTCTAATGGGTTGCACTGCTTTTGGTTGGGTGTTGGGTTTGTTTTTTTATCTCTGCAATCAGAAAATGGGCTTTGCCGGAAGCTTGTATTAAGACCTTTTTCTTATGGGAGGAAGTGAATATCTGTGAGGGTTGCACTTATGTGGTAATATTTTTATTCTTAGGACTCTTTATTGCTTTAATAATAGGGATGCCAGGTTAGCTTCAAAATGGTGTACATAGAATATGCAAGCAAAGTTGATTTCAAGATGTATTTGCTTTTATGGAACACCTTAACACCTAAATATCTGAGTAGTACCTGTCATGAGTATTTTTTAAGCTAGTCTAATAGCATCCTGTAGAAAAATATGTATCTCTGTCTTGAAATTGGTGGGTCATAAGAACGTGGAAATCAAACTGAAAAATGTCTTTGAACCTCTCTTACTTTTGTCTTATGGCTGTGGAAGTAATATCGTGAACTGCGTTGCAGTTGCTTCATTATACTGTGTTTTGACTTCTCAGGAAATCTGTGTGGGAATATTAGGAAATATGGCCTGTTTCCAAGACATATGCATGTCCATCAGTAAAGATGAGAATCTTGGGTAAGTGTATATGTGCTTTATACATGCATGAGTACTGCTTTTCTGAGCTCACAATCGTGAAATACATGTTACAGAAGGAATTAAGTTTGCCTGCCATGCCTCATCTTCATTCACACCTTTTTGGCTGACTGTATTTGTGTGGCAAGTGTTCAGTG